TGCCCAACTATGTGCGAAGTTGTTTGTATCTCGTGATTTAAATTGATTTGTGCATTAATTATACCACACCTTATCTTACGATAAATTTACATTATAAATCGCGAATTTATATCATAACGTTACAGAGGATACGTTTTAACTTAATCTTTCGCAACGTGTCCCGACTCCACCGACAGCAATAACTCGCCCGATCGTCGTCGCGCGGCGATGCGATGCGGTATTTATACGGCGGTGTAAAATAACGCTCAATGAAATTAACGGAGCCCGCTCGTTTCTTCCACGCCTCGCCATTCCACCTCGCCATTCTTCATCGGCCGTCGGAATATCGCGCCGCGAATTCTTGTTCGCGCGTTCGTACGTTCGGCTAGGAGAAGGCGCGATAAATATGTTAATTGAACAGTACGGACCGTTACGCAGTCGACCCGCGAGGCGCCGATTGTGCGTCGTCGTCGTCGACGGCACCATTTGGCCGCTCGTTCGGTAAAGGAATACCATTCCTGAACCATAGGGGACACGTCCGAGTGATTCGAGGACTCATTCTATCGCGCCAAGTTTGGCGAATGACGTGCGCGTGCCCAATCTTCTTTCTTCCGAAGATTATGGCGAGACTTATGTCTGTTCCCGTTCACCGTGAATATGATGAACGCATCGAATATGCGTATCAAGTATCCCGAAAACCGCCGTCTTTCATTTCCTCGACGGATTCTTCGGATGATTTATTAAGAGCGATTTTCTTATCAAGTAAAATTCACCGACGAATTTTAACCCTGGAACGATCGCGTCACTAACTGACGAATGTACACGGAAACGCAAAATAGATGCTTGTCAGTGTTTTTCGTAAAATACATTTTAATGCGACACCTGTCATTCGCGCGACCACTGTAGAATGTTTTTCTATGAGAGACACGCTGCTATTGATTCGCATTTCTCTGTTCGTAACGTTGTAAACTTAATGCGCTCGATATTGCTGCCGGCAAGAATTTCAGAAATTGGCAATCATAAATCGAGCGGACCGGCGCAATTTCGGCCGCCTGATGAATAAACAATCGTCCGTGCATCGACGCTCGACGATGGCAGCGCAGGTTGCATGTATCTGACATCTGAAGTCAACGACCCTTGCGCTCGCGCCGCAACGTCCGCTTTTACGAAGCGCGTGCGTGCAATTGCCCCGCGTTTCTACAATTCCGCTGCATTCGATGCATCCGTCTTTCGCCGCCGCTAGACAGCACATCGCGATACGCAGGCCGAGATGCGAGAAGCGATTTCACTGATTCCAAGACGTGTCTGCGTACGTTCGAGACGCTCGCGATTTGCGTTCCGCACGCGATTCCGCGCGCCCACCGCTCTTATGCAACGCGCAAATCGTCCCGATGAGCATCTGATTGCGCCTCGCATCGCTGAGATCTTCAAGTACGACAACGCAGAAGGAAAGGAAAGGAAAGAAGGAGGACGATTTCAGCCGAGTGTGTTCACTTTTTCATTACACGAACATTTGTTTTTAACATTTAACATATTTTGATAATACATATCTATCTTTCACTCTTGGACATTTTTTCCACTACGTCCGCATTAGAAATCGATGATTAATCAAATTTCTCGCAAAAAAGTCCCGCTATTGAAAGCGGAAGAACAATTTCTAAAGGACGGTGGAGTCGAGCAAATACGGTTGCTGGATAACAGTTTCGTTCTCTAAGTTTCGATACTTACAGAAATAAAAAGTTCTTCCTTCACATACACTACAAACTTACACAGTGAAAAATGTTGCGTTAAAAACGATCCACTGACATTTCCGTGTTACCTTAACATGGAGAATGCGTTAAAAAGCGCACAAATATAAAATTAATATATTCACTTTGTTAAAGTAGCACACCATTTCAATGGACCGTCTCCAACACAAAATGTTTCATTGCATACCTAACCAAGCCAGGTTGAATCAAGGGAAGGATCTCCCGTCGAAAGTACTCCGCATTCGAAACTCAGGCATTCGTGCGACCCGTGAAAGAAAGCTGGGCTCGTCAAAGAGAGACGCGCGTACGACTGCGCCGTAGGTGTGTCAGATTCTCCTCGAGCAGGGCGGAAACGTGAGTCGCCGGCGAAGAAATGAAGAATGGCGGCGGTGCGTTTACGCAATAACACCCGAGTGAAATTCGCCGGATCGCTGAGGTTTACTTCCCTCGAACGCCAATTTCGGATTGGCACACAACGCGCCGCCGGCAACGTGCATCCGCATAGCCGATTACTTCCTAGACGATTGCGCGACCGCCGTCGTCGCCGCCGCCGCCGCAGGATGTGAGTCGCTTGCATTATCGCTTCCGTTACGAAGCTCACGGTGCGTCGCTCGCGCCACCCCCGCTGCCTCGCAACGTACCTCGGACGGCGTTGCACTTTGCTCGGGCCGAAACTACTACTACTACCGGTTATCGCCGCGTGCGCAAACGTAAATGACAGGGTGGTGGTAATGATAGGTTGCACGGCAGACGCGTGTGTGTTTCTGCGTTTATTTCTGCCCGCGCGCCCACTGGAACGTGACGGGACGGAAGGGCGTAGTAGTGTAATCAGGGCCCGGCTTCGGGCGTTTCTACGTCTTCTTCGGGCAAGGTTGAGATATGCGTCGTGCGCGAGCCGTTACACGTTACGAGGGTTTCCTAAACGGCGAAAAATGGACGGATTCTGGAAATTCGCCAATCTCGAAAACGATTTTTGTCCGCGAAGAGCATCGAGGCGCCGGCGGGCTGTAAAACGTCGAAAACGAAGGATCCTCCGCAAAATGAGCTTCGGAGGTCCAAGAAAATGCCGAAGTGTTATTTGCAATTTTACAAATAATAGACTTTGACTTGAGTCATTTTGAAAGTGTACTTTTTGATGGAATTTTCACTCACCGATCTCAGAAACGATTTTCATCACCGGATATATCGAAGCGCCTGTGAAGACATCGAAAACGACGAATCCTCCGCAAAATAAGCTTCGGAGGTCCAAGAAAATAACGGTGCATTATTTAAAATTCCGTAAGAAAAACAGACTCTACTTTTAATAGAGTACACCTTGTTGAGATTTTTGCTCGCCAATCTCCGATAGGATTCTCGTCGTGTGTCGAGACACTTGTGAACTACAAGACATCGAAAACGACGAATCCTCCATAGATGGAGCTTTATTTGCGATTTCACCAAAACAATGCAGACTCTCTCTGCTTTGAATAAAGCATACCTAGATGTGAAATTCTCACACGCGATTGAATGTTTCCAGTATCGGATGTGTACACAATCGGGTGTAACAGGCGTGGCGGTGTATTCAGACCAAACTCGTTTTACCTTCTGGCCGCGGAGGGAAGCGACGGTGACGCAAAGTAAAGCGCTCGCACCGAAGCGCCGGTTTCCTGTATGCTCGCTCGCATTGTGCAAAGAACGATACGGTCGGGGGTTGCGCAAGTGAGACCCTATTTTGCACGAGGGTAACGTAAAACGGCCGCCGACGAGGCGTTGCGTCGGCGAGCCGAACGTTTTGCCCAGGAAGATGACGAGAGACTTCGCCGCCCATTGAAATCATCGGCTTGAAAACGGCAGCGGTAATTCGATGAGGTAACGTCCCGCCTTGTATCGCGCGCATCGCCGATGCGCCCGGTGCGTGATGATGATGATGACGATGATGATGATGACGAGGACGTGGGGTTGCGTGTCTACTACTCGCGAAACGGCCGGGAAGATTGAAAAGCACGCTCGCCTTAGCGCCTAGCTGGAGCGACGCGTCGGCGATGGCCGGCCGGCAGACGCGCGTTGCATTATTCGTGCGGCAATTAGTCATGAGAGATTGAACCGCGCAGATAGCCGAGAGCGCGGCCTTTGTGAGGAGCTAACAGCTTTCGCGCCGCGCAGTGAGAATTCGCGCGAGCGCGGGTATTTAAGGCAATTTCGCACCGTGAAATGGACGCGCACGATCGTACGTGACCGCTGCGGGGGGAGCGCGAAAACGACACGTGTGATTAGCGCTCGGGATGGGAAGATCACGACCCTCGCGCGCTAATCGGCGCGTCCTTTGATCAAAAGGACGTTTTTAAAATGCCGATTCTTAGAAAGCTCCGCTCAAGGCCAACTCGGAGGAGAAAATCACCCGCTTGATTTGTATATTATAATCCGCCATAATCATGGGCGAACCGACGGCACGCGATGGCTCGACGGTTAGAAAGAGAAATGGGAGCGATCCGCGTTAATTAGCACGTCGTTCTCGATAGCCATCGTCGCCGTACGAGGGCAAAAGTGAAGCGTTTCCCACGTACTGTAGAAACGAAACGCGCGATAGTTCGGCCGCGTTAACACTCGAGTAGGTTACGACGTAAAAATGCTACACCAGTTCTCGACGGAACTCGGATATTAAATTCGCGCGCGGATTTCACCCGTGAATATTGAACAGTTTTATTGATTGAGATATCTATATTTATATGCGCGCGACACATACTTTCTTCTCCAATGACACACATTTCTCTCTTATACGTCAGTTAGAGTAATTGTAACAATACATTGTACATATACATAATAAATTGTAACAACTACATACGTTCTCCGTGATAAAATTCCTTATTTATTTATATTTTTAATAGTTAAAAAACGGGGTTTCAATCGCTGAAAAGAACGAGAGGAAACGATCTTTGCGATAAATTATTTTCTTGCTATTTAAATGATATTTCGATTGAATTGAATTGAATTGTTAATGTTCCCTCATCATATTAATGTGATTCAAAAAGTTAACTATATAATCTTATTCAAAACAGGTTTTTTCCGAGCTTTCAAAACTATATATTTTTTTATCATCAAACTAATTTTTATTATTATATGCGCTAAACGTTGCAGTCGTATGTGTGATTTCTAAGAAAACGCACCGCGTTTCTTTTATATCAGACGTGTTTTGACGCGGATAAATTTATCTGTTTATCGATACACGTCGTTAATTGCGTAAAGCTTAATGCCCCATAACGATGTCAGGATAATAAGGGACGCATCGCATTGCAGGATCTAATGGCGCCGGATGTGGTTATCCGGGTGCACCGGCGCACAGCAGCGTGCGTTTTACCGGCACGGAGGTCGAAGATGTCATAGACGAGGAGGATGCTCTCCTTAAGGACACCACGTTACCGGTGGGCACCGTGGCCACGTATTCCTGTGAACGGGGATTCGAACTCCTGGGACCTGCGAGAAGGCAATGCCAAACCGACGGCATGTGGGCGCCGGAAGGTGTGCCTTTCTGCGGTAAGTGGGCATTTTTCAACGAAAGTCGCATTAACGATCTCAAAGAGCAAGCCTATCTTCTTTTATTATTTATGCCGGTGAAATCGTGGGCTTAGAGACTCGCGACAAGCTTTCAATTTTTATTGGTAAACATACGAATAATCAATAAGCCGCAAAATTAACATGATAAATCATGAGAAAAGATGGGTTAAAGGTTGCGTGTCATGCAAATTTGACGATTATTTATCGATTGTCAGAGCAAAAGGAAAGTTTTCAGAATATTTTACTAGTGTGCCGAATCCATTACAATTGTCGTTTTATGGGCATATCTTTTTTATTTGAACGTATATCGTAAGAATTCTGGACACGCGTTTTCTCGATTCTGACGAGACGACGAATCAGAATTTTTATGGCGTCGAGAAATCAATAGTTTCTTCTATGTTGTGCCATTAATGGCAAATTCGATTGGACGCATTAATGCGCATCAGTGCACATTAAAGCCGTATAAATTAAGTAATAATAAATTAAATAATAATAAAGCTTGTTTTTATATTTAAAATCATTTACAGTTCATCTTCAGATACTGTACGGATCATTTTATTCGCTACGGAGCATCAAAAATGAATTTCAGATCTTAAATATAAAAACAAAACAACCTTAAATATAAAATATAAAAACAAACTATGAATACGGCTTTAGTGTGCATTGGTGCGCACAAGTGCATCTAATCGAATTCGCTACTAATGGCGCAACATATACCGGTAGAAAATTATAATTACTTTCGGTACCAACCATATTTTATAATAGCAACATGTATGCAAGGTTATTATCACTGACACTATAATAACATTTGTTAGAAAAGTAGTTCTCCTAACTATTTTCACGATTAAAATAAAAAAATGGGTATGGTTGGCACCGAAAATAACTATAATTTTCTATCAGTGCGGAAGAAACTATCGATTTCTCGGCACTTCCAATCGGGAGGAGCTTCGAATTTTCGACGGAAAATTCATAGATAAAAGCTTACGCGACATGACTGATCCGAATAGGTAGGTCGGTAGGTAAATAGGTGGATAAGCAGGTAGATGTATAGATACACCTTTGGCGTTGGATTACGCGAGATTTCCCGGCTTCTATAATTATACGCAAAGCGAATAGTCGATAGAGCCTCCGGTGAATCGCTCAGGTGAATCGATGCGGTTTCGGGAAGGCAAGTGACCCGGTTCCACGTGTCCTTGACCGAGCAGGCCCGACGACGGTGGCACAAGAAATGCCGCAGCCAGTGGGGGCAGTGCACCGTTAACTCTGAACCTGTTACCTGCCTAAGAACGCCCGCGGCCTTCCCAACCTCGCGCGCATTCCGCGCACCGGGTTTTACCGGGCTCTTCGTTGCCTTGGGCCGGGTGAATCTGTTCGTTCGTTCTTCAGACGACCCGGGAAACGCCTCCCGCAACGCGTCCTCACGGCGTTTTCGTCTCGTGCGCGACTCCCGGGTCGGCGCGCGGCTTTTACATATCGACCCCGACGCTTCCCTACGCTCTCGACGACGGATGCGCACGAAGACAAACGCGCAATAAATCAAGCGGAACGATCGAATTTGTGATACGATAAGTTTTTTTTTCTCACGAGCGCGAGAATATACGGAATATCAATTCACCGCCGTAGGATGTCGGTGAAAACCAACGATCCGATCGAGATGGCTCGACTACGCTCATTAGTCAGCCGTTTACTTGGCGACCGAACTCTCTCACGTGCTTTCTTGTGTACGCGTGTATGCTAATACGCTTCTCGTCGGCGAGAAACCCGACTGATAATCATACGTACAAATCGATACGCGACTGTGTATTTATCATACGGAATGCGTTTTCTAGCCTCGTGGTCGACCATCTTAGGAATGAGGTGACCGATTCTCCGTGCCTCTCGAATACTCGCCGCGAGCACGGAAATGCACGAAATGCTTGGCGTGTCGGAAATAATGCACGGAGAAAAATATCTTGCTGGCACCGCAAATTATTAGTTACTATAGGGACAGCAAAAAAATTTGTTAAGAATATTAATTACTATTTATCGGATATATAGACAACAAAATAATTTAGTTATGCCAACTAAATTTTATCGCTGTCACAACAATGGTTTTGCTATGACAAGCAAAATTATTTTTTTCCGTGTAACAAATCTTTTTATTGTCCCCGTAGTAACTAACAATTTTCTGCGTCAGCAAAATTATTATTTCCGTGAGTGTACCGAGAAAAAAGAATTCAGAAACATCGCGCGCAAACGCCTCTTTATCTGCGTTTCTTCTCTCATTTATTCGCACCGTCTTGCATATCGAAGCTCTAAAGACGTGCCTCGAGAGCGACAGATTTTCCATAATCGCAATTTCTTTCACCTTTCCTTGATGAGCAATCGTCTCTTCATCTTCGTCCGAAACTGGAATTATAATCGAGCAAGAAATAAATCAGAACATCGCAAATCGACCTCGATTCCATCTAGTCAGGAAGTCGTGCAATCGTCTGACGAGCGAATTAAAGTCTCGCGCTGGCTTCCGCGACTTCGTTTCTTGACGATTAGATTGTCGCGCGTATTGCCGTACGCGCGAGACGTACGCAGATCGAAGCACAAGAAAGAGCACGACGGGAAGAGAATCGCTCACGATGAGATCTCACGCTGAGATCTCACGCTCCGCGAGCTCTCTCGACGACAAGCCGCCGAACTGGTCCAGGACCGCGAGAAGTGGTGCTGTCACGTGGGCGGAAGTGGGTCGTGGATTACGACGCAAGTACACCGACAAACATACGCGCGAGAGAAGTAACGAGAGAGACGGTGCCTTCATTAGGCGCTCCGTCACCGAGTCCGCCGACGGAGGGGCGAGACAACGTGACACCTCAAACATAATGATGAATGATCTGTTTAGAGGGCATGAGAGAAAGAGGGGATCACTGAGGAAGCGGAATTTCGCGAATTAACCTAGCCGCCTAGCTCACCCACCGGCGTAATTTAATTCCGTCAAGCTCCGACATCCTTCGTCCGCACGCACCTTTGTATATCTTGCGGAGATTCCTCGTCTAATCTTTTTTCTCAGGCTAAGTCAAGGATAGATGTTATCGGGGACATTGTGGTTTTAATGCTGTAACACTCTCATCCATTCGTGTGAGCACGAGCTTCGTACGCCGAAGAAGAGTCGTGCGTTTGTAGTACGTGCAGAAATAACGAGATTCTTACGTCAGCCTCTCCTAACGTCCTACTTTGTGAAAATGAGGAATGCGCGAGGAGATCTCACGCCGTCTCGAAGATTAACGCGAATCAAGTCCCTCAAGTCTCTAATAATAATCAACTTTTTAATCGACCGTATAACATGACGTCGCCGTAAGGGTTTCTCGTGCCAATAAGCGTCGCTGGGAGTACCATCGCGGATGAAGTATGTTTAAGAAAGTGATACCAGATATACGCGCGATCCGATAAAGTAAGTAGTCAGTCGAGTTTCAGCGCAGCCGACGCGCAGTCGATCAACGATGACAACGCAAACACGGTTTTTGTCCGCGTGTAACGTAACGTCGACGTATCCCAGACACGTCTAGGCAACGCGCATCAACGTCGACCGTTGTTGCGCGGACAGGATTACGGGGTCACGGGGTCTCGACCGATTAGCGAAGAAGGGAACGGGCGCGAATAAAATTGTTCCGGCCAGAAAGACGGAAGCACGCGTCTCCGAAATTATTTTCAAATTTCACGGTCTGCGTGCAAAAATCGTTAACGACTTTCCTAACCCGGATGTTTTCGAGAACGCGATTCCACATTTGCGTGATTGTACTACCCAATTACCCCGCGACGGTTTCGAGTATTTTCGTAGGAATCAAGTGGCACTCGTGCTAAATTCGCTTGTTTTGCTAAATTTCCTCGGCAGTCACGGCCAAAGTAGGAAACTAAAATCTCAAATTAACTTCAGTTACACTATCTTGTAGCCGGTTATATATATTTCGCGTGAGCTTCAAGTGAGCAATTATCTCGGTTGTTAAGATAATATCCTGTGCAGCGTAATCCAATGAACGCTCTGAAATATTACTAGATAACCAATTATCTTGCATTATTTAAGAATGTCTTTATATATATTAATACTGTTAATAACATATATTATTCTTAATGTGATGTACTATCATTATTTATACAGTGGTAGTACTATCGGGGAGAGAAAGGGAGAGAGAGAACGTATTTTACTTAACAACAAATTGTTATTTCGAGGTAAATTATAACAGATTAAAGTGAATTCTTTCATCACATCAAAAATATATCGGAAAAACAAAACATTCTTTCATATAATAATGTTTAACAATAATAACAGATTTCATGTACAGCCCTCATAAAAATTTAATACTGGAAATTACTAAATTTGCAATAATTAAATATTAAAAAAGCAGTAAAAATACAGTAGATAGTGAATCTACATCAAATAAGTGTTCCGATAATAGAAGATCTATGATGTCTGACTGCTAACTAGATGGCCTAGGTTCAATATTGCTCTGAGTCTGTATTTTTTTCCTTCTTCCTTTTTTCCACTGTTATTACTTTTATTCTATTATTAATATGAATAAAAACACGTATACAATATTTTTATATGTATATAATTTGTAATATATTAACCAATGATTAAGTATTGGCCAAATAATTACTGAAATACTACCAGTACTTAATCACTGTGAATCCCCTAGTAATTCTCAGTATTAAATTTCTGTAAGGGGGCAATAAATTTGAAAATTGTAGCGTATCAAAATATCCTAGATTTTCTACTGGACACCCGTAATAGACGGGTGTCGATGGTAATGCGAGCGGCGATGGTAATTTAGTGGAGCGAAATATCGCGCATTCCTGCGGTAATTTTTGCGCTTGCTTCTCGAGGCGGCAGAAAATACCGTACAATTTAATGACATCGTAATGGTAGCATTTCTTGCGCAGGGGGATGGTCGCCGCGCGGGTCTTCGTCGTCATTTTGGCGATTGCGAAGCAAAGGCTCGTGAGCGCGAGTG